GACTAAAAAGCCTAAGGGAAAGTCCTAAAATAAATTCTACAAAATTAAGTATACACCTAAACCTCCTAAAAAGCTATTAAAAAGAATAATATTCTAAAAATATAAAACTAAAAATAAAATGGCATTTTTATTTTTATTAATTTTCTACACAAAATTATGAGTCTATAGAAAAAACAAGAATTAAAAAACAATGATTTTTCAATTTTATATGGATTTTTAAAGATGCTAAAAATATAAAAGGAGAATTAAAAAACACAAAAATGAAATAAAATGGGGAGGGGGTGCCAGAAGTAACCACGCCCAGTTATATTGATCATTGGGCCATGAAGTGGGGGGCGTGAATAACAAAAGGCGCTAGGCCCAGCATGCATCAGAAATTGAATTAAAAAAAATAAAACGTGAACGGTGCATTTAGTAATACTTCACAGTTCAAATCCGTTGGGCTTTGCTAAGGGGGGTGGGGTTAGCATTCTGAATCCAGGCCCATGGTGTTGCGTTTAATGAAACGCATCGATTCACTTTGGGATTTCCCTCCGTTTCTCAGCTTCGAATCTGGACCGTGCGATCAACCTAACAAGTCAATTGAAATGAACTAATCCAATGGTCATCAGTCATCTTCTCCAATCAACACCTAGGGTTTCAGTTTTTTACAGCTTCCATGCACGAAATCAAGCTCATCGTGCTCTCTCAATTCACAATGAAATTCAAAAATTACAAAACCAAAATTGTACCATTTTCTTCCAAGAACATTACTGTATTCATAGTTTCATCTAAATCCTCCTATATCTCATCAACAGAAAGCACGAAAGTACGGGTTCAACCAAATTACACTGAGATCAATCATGGTAATCCTTGGTATTAATGGCATTATCTTGCTCATGGTGTTGCACTGATCTTACTAAGCTATCCTATGATCATTATAACTCAATATCCAGCCCAAACTTGATCTTGAAAGAAATTGCACCCTGCCATGGAACCTCATAGAATTCTCTATAACTTTCAGAAATCAATCACCTGTGGTCTCTAATCATGTTTATCCTAGCCATTTCATCTAATGCTACATAAATAAAGAGATTCGATAGCTTTTGCAAACCTGAAAATTGGTGATGGCAAGGGTATCTACCCTTCAATCCAATGCTTGAAACTTGTCACAAATGATCTTTAATGGATGATAACCTTTCTGTTTGCAAGATCTTGAATGGACAGTGCTTGGATTGTGAGTTTGGATCCAACTTGCTTTTCTTGCAATTTTGAAGCCACACCTTCAAACATTCATCAATGGCCACTCCAATCTGTGTGTATGTGTTCAGTGTGATCCAGAGAATTGATTTGTGGAGAAGAATTCAATGGAGATGAAGAAGAAAATGGAGTTTGATATTGATTTGCAAAAAATGAAAGAAAAGGAATCTCACTCTCTCTTCACTCTCTTTTCACCAACCTTTTGCACTAATGGATTCAATTCAATATATAGAGGATGATGGACAGATCTAGAAGTTTCTGGATGCCTCTAGGATGATTCTAGAATGTGGTGGAAATTCATGGAAATTCTCATGTGATGACATATTGATATCTCATGGTATCTCTTTACAATGCACTTATAACCCTTCAAAATCTCCTTACATGCCAAATTGGAATGATATGCAAGCTCCTTGCCTTGAAAATTACCTTGTGCCAAGTTTTCCATGCTTGCCTTATTCTGCAAGTAACAAAAATACAAAGCAAGTCCAAAATTGAAACCCTAACTCAAAAAAGTGGCTGAACCAATGTCTTTAAAATGATGTTTGGATTCAATTTGGTATATTGGATGACCCATTTTGGATTTGTAGATCTCTCAAACCATTTTCCAACTTGAACTTTTTCAAGTTATATGCCATTTTTAGGTCATTTTCACCCATTCTTGTCAATTCTTGCTACAAGCTTTTCCAACAACTCATGACCACTTTTATAGGCTTAAAATGTCATTTTGAACAACTTTGATGTTTTGAGTTTTTTCATTTGAGGCTTGGAAATAGGAGATATGGCCTTTGCTTAAAATGACCTATAATCACCAAATGACCAAAATACCCTTGTCTTGTACAAACCATAAGTTGAGTTCTAAAAATCCTATCAAGGACTTATAGTACTCTATAGAAAGCTAAGAAGATGCTCTTCAACATTCATGTTGACCAAGAGATCATAGGAATCATCCTACTAGGGCAAAAGTTGTCTGCAAGTTGGGTGACTTTCAAGGACCCAGATTCACATACTTCAGATGACCTGTAATTTGTCAAAACCATAACTTGAGCTCTGCACATCCTATCAAGGACTTCTACCACTCAAATTAAAGCTAAGAACAAGCTCTACAACATTCATGTTGTGGGGAAGATGATATGACAATCACATCTTAAGCTAAAACTGCCTGGAAGATAGGGATCAAACTAGGGGATTTTACACTGCCAATCCTTAGAAACCCTAGCTTAAAACTTCTCAAACTCCTCAATCATGATGAGTTGGTCTAGGAATCATCCTTGTAACATCTCAATACATCATTCCATGATCTCATGGCTCTTGGATTAGGTCTCAACCCTCTCCAAATCATCAGTTGACCTAGGGTTGACCCAGTCAAAACCCTAATTCTACCACTTATGGTTGAATCTTCTGAATTCTTGCATAATGACCTCTCTGGGCTTCATGATGGCTTTCAATACATCTCATAGGCTTTCTCAAAGCTTCAAGTTCATTCTCAAAGTCTCAGACTCATCTGAGGAGCACCCACAACTCTCAAGTTATGAGGCACACAACTCTGGTTTCAACCAATTCTTCTGAGGATCTTTTGAACTTCCTGATGAAGGTATCAACCTTCAAACACTTGATGGATAAATAAATGTTGGTCAAATTTTGGGGTGCAACAATGGTTTGATTGGAAGAGCCCTAAATCAGGATTCTGGAGAAGTAGAGTTTCTCACCCTTGGGATTTATGATTGACAAGTTGCAATTTAGTTAAGTCTTTTGAGGCTAGCAGGTGTAGTGTGAGTGTCGAATTCGAGTTTATGTTGTTGTTCAAGATTTGTGGCAGTCAGGTTTAATGGTCAAGGTCTGAGTGTGGCCCAAAGGAGGAGGTGTATTGCAAAGCCCATGTTCATTTTCCTAACCCCTTCTTAAACCATTCATAAACCAATTACCCATTTCACTTATCCATTTATTCATCCATTATTGAGTTGTCCGTTTAAATTCATTTCTCCCAAAATCCATAATATCCATTTTTTTTATATATTTATTATCCATCTTATCCTTTTTTCAATCCAACAACGCTATATCCATTTTTTAGAATCCAAATTCCATGTCTTTTTTTTTTTATTATTTCTATCCCATCCAAAGTTTCAAGTTACTTCAAAATTATCATTCTAAGCTTCAAGATTATTCCAAGGTTTATTCCATCTCAAATTAAAGTCCAAGGCCCATTCATAAAGAAATCATTACAAAATTCCACACAAAAAATCTTTAATACAAAAATACCATTTCAAAAATAGTTATATCTCTAAGGTCCATACAAAAGCCCATTGTTCTTTTCACATTTACAACAAAACTCATTCCAAATTGCCAAAAATAATGAATACAAATTTCAAAACAGCTTTGACCCAACCCTACGCGACAAAACAAAACACTGCTCATCTCCAACAGCTAGCAACATGTACACCTTGCCAAACCATTACCTTCAAAAAGTCTTTGACCAAGACCGTTCCAAAATGGGAAAATTAACACTTGCTAGCCTGTTATTCCCAAAAGGTAAGCCAAAAGCTTTCCCCTTAAACCAATACTCTGCTACCGTCCTGCCGCATCAACAACAAAACTGCTACAAACCTCTATGCCCTGCTTCAAACCCCTGCTGCTCCTTGTTATAACTTGCTATCACTGCTATCATTGCTCCAAAACCTATCATGCTAAACACTCACCTATACAAGACCTGCAACAGGGAATGAAAATGACTTCACAGCAATTGCCTCAAATGTCAAAAAACTCTGCACACATCAAGACAAATTTTGTGGCACTAAGGCATCAAATCAAAGACTACACCTAAATGTGAAAAAAGCTTTGCTCCCAAGAAGCCTGTCATCAAACTGTCACCTTTCAATTCCAAAACAATGATATGAACTCTGCAACTTGGACCTGCTGCAATCCCATGCGTAGCATCACAGAACCAAAACATGCTTAAACCTGCAACAAAACCAGCACCCAAAGGGACAACAAAGAGTTCTGCAGTGGAAATAGCAAGACAGAGGTAGCAAAATTAAAAAAGAGGGAAGGGGGGAAATTTTGATCTTTTCGTTCTGACATGTTGACATCATCACTCTCAAAACACCTCAGACCACAATCTTGTTATCATAAATACCCCACCTCAACGCAAGGAAAAAGGGGGAACATCCAAGAGCCCTCATCAGACAACCTTCATAAAACTCTGTTCTTCTTCATTTCACAATAACCTTCATCAACTCTATAACCCTAAAAAAAACATCAAACATAAAAAGCAACATTGCTTCATATCCATTTTCCTTGAACATTCCCTTTGACATATAAGAAACACCATAATAGATGCATAACCATCCAACAGCCACAACACCTCATAACAGAGAGAAGTAGAACAGAGTAGGAAGACTTCGCCAACGGCTGGATTTCCCCCATCTATCTACATCAGCATTACCACTTCTTTTTACGGCAGCTAAACCTTCGATCATCAGAAGCTTCACCACGGTTTTCAACTGACCGTCCCTCCACTTCCTGCAACACCAGTATTCCATAAAACCTCCACCCTAACAATCATCTTCGATTTCCCCCCTTGAAACTGTTACCAGCCCACTACATACAACATCCAGCTGTGCTACAAAACCATAAAACCAGAGCCTATAACAAGAGTCCAAAATTTTTAGACAAGAGCTCAGCTACCACACAACAGGGAGAGGGAAGTTTGTTTTATGAGGAGGTCTGGAATTCATTTGTTTCAGAACCAAAGAGAGCCTTCAAACTCATCTTTCCCAATCACCTTTGCGGAGGTCTTCCGCCTTTGTTTCACCCAACTTCCATCTAATCAAACTCGACCTTTTTATCTCCAGAACCCTATCCCATACATAAGCTTCAATCTCTCTTCCTACAGTGAGGTTACCCCAATTCATTAGCCATTCGCAACATAGACAAATAGAAGAAGAAAGGAGAAGAGTGAAGTGGAAAAGGAAGAAAGAGCTTACCGGAATCACGATCACCTTCGGAAAAGCAGTATCACCAGAAACCAATTCAACTAGGTAACTTTTCTTCGTTTCGCTCGAAATCTTGTCATTTTCATGTTTTCCTTGATCCATTTGCTTTGACTGTATGCCATATGTTTGTTTCGATGAGAATGTTTTCATGATGCTATATGTTATTCTTGATGTGTTTATTTTCTGACTGGTAAGATTTGAGTTGATGTGAGGGAGTCCTTGAAACCATGTAAAAAAAACCGGAGAAGGAACTTCACAGAATAGCAAGCTTAGGATCTACCCTTTGTATGATGCCTTCACCGTAAGCTCCAACTCCAGGAGAACCTTACTATCATCTTGATTTACACACGGAACAACCTTCATTTTCCCGCTTCTGTGATAATATCACCCACTGATTCATCATCACCGAAACCTGCCTCCACTAACCCACTGCGTTTAAGCCAATAACCATAAGCTGAAAACTTCCTCTGTTTGTCACAATAACAAGTAACACAGCCATGAGTGAAAGTAGAAAAATCGAAATTTGAAAACAAAAGGGGTTATGTGGGAGAGATGGAAACGAACCCTTTGAAACCTTTGTCTTTGGTTGACAGAGAGTTCTCGCGGAAACGTCGTTATCTCGTCGAATGTTTTCAATTGCCAAGTTTGCTCGAATAACAATACACGCACCATAAATTCCCAATTCAACCTTCACTTCCCCGACTCCTGTGATAACATCACCAACGTTCAATTGCCTTCAAACTATCCCAGAGAATGCTGTCTTCATCATAATCTTCCACCTCTCACTCAAATCGTTGAAAACCAGAACATCCTCATCACTTACCAATCAAATAGCCACCCTCACCTTACACCACAGCTAAGTCCTTCACCTGTAGCTCTAAAACACTCCAAAACTTGTACATAGTATAATCAGCCACGGAAACGACACTGCACAAAAGGTAAAGCGCGAATTCAGAAGTTAAGGAGGAGAACCTCACGGTAAAACAGAAGAAAACCCCAACAGTTTTGAACCCATGAGACCATTATCAAGTTCCTTAAAACCTCAATCGCATCAGAAAGAGGTCACCACTAACTCCACAAATCTTCATGCTCTTCCTCGACCGGCGACTGCCTCGAAACCCGTTAACCCCACCATTACGACGACCTTCTTCATCTGTTAATTCGTCATCTCACTTCCTCAAGACACAAAACCACCATAATTTTCTCCTTCACAAATTCTCCATCAATTTCATCAGTCACGAACACACTAAACTCACCATGGATCCACCGTGAAACCTTCAGCCGATACTCTCTAATCCTTTCATCTGATTCCCCTGATTAACCCTCTTCCATGGATCGAAACCTAAATCCGTTCGAAATCAAGTTCAGGAAAGAATCAGACAGAAGGAGATGAAAGATGGCGAAACAAATTAGCGTAAACGTGAACAAACCTTTAGAAACATCAATCGGAAGTAACTTGAATCCAAAACGCGAAACCGAAGCAGAGAGAAAGGGAGTAATAAATCAGAGAGGACGGGCTCGAAATAAACCATAAGAGGGAAGATGAAGGAGTGAGCGATCATTGCTAAGCATCTTGTGAATCATTGTCGGAAGTTTCAGATTCGATTTGTTTTCGTTTCCATTTGAGTTTTGCCCACCCGCGGCCGTTCTGTAAACAGTAAGAGGGAGTCGTTTTGGTTTGACGTTAACAAGTTGGTTTGACGTTTTGTAACACTGAGTGTCTTGTTTTATTTGAAATCCCTCAATTCCCCATGTGATGCAATCAGGCCTTTGGCCCATTTGAGTTTGTGTTCAACACTTCGTATTATTTTCTAAACTTTCATTCTTTTAATGATGTTTACTCATAATCTTGTTAATAATGTTTGGTAGAAGTATTTGTTAAAACTTGTTGTCATCTTTCAAATCTTTTTGATAATTACCTTTTTAAAATTTCTCGTTATTTATTATTCAGATTTTAGTTAATTCTTTTTTAATTCCTAATTTCTTTTTTTTGGGTAATTCATATGTTGTATGTGAGTCTTGATACCTTTGAGGCTTTTGATGCTAGTTTTGGATTAAGTATTGATTAATCAATGTTGTCTTTAGCTTGATTTGATCTTTGAAGATTATTGTTTAAATTTCTGTTTTGTTGATTGCTTACTCTTGATGCTTGCTGTTATTTTTTGACTTTGTCCTTGAGTCATTAATGAGCGTTTGCGTTCTCCTGTTCGTTCTTAATTGTTATCATTTACGCTTAAAGCTTTATCCTTTCTACTTAATTGCTTGTGCTTCGTTCCAAAGGAAGGGTTTCTTGTTGACTTGTAAGTCGTACTCTTAGGATAGTTTAGTAGCTTTTCTATCCCCCTCTTAACCTTGTTAGGATCTCCCTCTCGGCCTCGTTAGAGCCATTTTGCCTTGCGATTTAGAATTAGGTTTAGAGTTTGTAAACTCTACGTGAGCGTCATCGTTATGATTACTCACTTTCCCCTTTTGACTTTCGTTAAAGTCAACCTTTAGTTCGTTTTCAACTTAGACTTAGGGAGTTCGTTAACTCCGTGTAAGTACCATGGTTATGAGTACTTCTTCCCCCTTGGAACCTTGATCGTTATCAAGAGTTCCTCGTCCCTAGTTAGGAGAACTACGGTTGCTCTGATTCCATCCTAGTCAGGATACGTAGATGTCGCTACTGCGAAAATCAGCGCCGGCTATGGCAGAAGAGTCGCCACCGTGCGTTATTTATCCCAAAGGAGGGAAAGGAAACGCTCGAAGTAAACCTACCGCAAAGACGGGAAAGGAAGGGTCATCGCAACCAAATCCTGGATTCGGGAGTCAGTTACGCAGGGGGAAGGTATTAGCACCCCTCACGTCCGTCGTACTCGACGGGATCCACGCTTGTTTTCTAGTACGGATTGTTATTCTATCTATTCTACAGGTCTGGGGTTAAAAGAAAATAAAATGACTCGGCAAAGTATCGCACTTTATGCCTACGTATTCTCGTCCGGAACGAGAAATCAGAGTCAACGTAGTTCGCCTACCTACGGGAAAGGAGGGGAAGGTTGCTCGCTAGGATACAACATCCTATGCCTACGTACTTTCATACAGCATGAAAGATCAGAGCAAACGTAGTTCGGGCCACGGAAGACACAGCTTTGTCTGACTGTTTTTTAGATCCTTCTGAAAAGGTTTTCTTCTGATTAGGAGTCCAAGCGGACAAAAATGACACTTTTTTGTTTGTTTTCAGTCTTTTACGCAAGAACTATTTTTTATGATGTTTGCAATGTCTGACGCACTAGAGACTATGATTTGAGAGTGACTACATCGTGTGTCACCCAAAGGGTACCACACTAAGCAGCCAGACTACTGGAAAGAAACTCTCCAGCAACCTTTTCTCAAATAGCTTAAGGCTCGTAGCGTACGACATCGATTAACCTTATTACTGTGTTTTTGAGTTGTTTTGAGACAAGAAGAGAAACGACGCTCTAAAATCCTATGGTTGAAAATGGGAATCAAAACTACCCTAATGTTGTCATGCATGGGTTAAAACCTAATGTCTGTCATATTTCTCTCTTGCACAGAGAAAAACAGAGATCCTAAGGGATAAACGGAAAAGAAACAACATATATACAGTAAACAGTAAAGTGCATGAGATGCAGCAATACAAGCGAGGCAAGGGAGTCCCACTCAACCTCGAACCTGGGAAAACAATAGGCAAAGTGAAACAACTTCACTTCAAACCTAAGGGGCAAGCTGAACAAGCCAACAAACAATACAGATTAGGGAGGATGACGAAAATGTTATATCCATAACTGTTGTTGGTATGCTTTCAATTAAAACTTTGCCGATGATGTAAGGCATTGTTTCAAATACCCAAACACCGGAGAAATAAGGAAGATAATCCCTTGTTAACCCCTTCGAGCCTGGAAGTAGGAGTTTTCTTTCCTTACAAAAACCTGTAATCTCAAACCTGGGGTGGGTAGTTCTCAGTTAACTCGGCGGTGTATAAGTGACCTTTCATTTGAGGGTTATGCACATAGGTTTTCTTTCATACACAATAAGCAAGTGTGAAGATGTTTTCCAAGTTTAAAAGTTGATGGTAGTTCACTATAACCATTAAACCAGGTAGTCATCTTCTTTCTCAAAAAAAAAAAGAAAAATCAAAAAAGAAGAAAAGCCTACTAAGTCAAAACCTATAAAGGAGACTTAGGCAAAATAGGGGCATCCCGCTGACTGTATATCCAAAAGAAACAGCTCAGGCAAAAGTCAGGGATAGTAAAAAAAAAAAGAGGAAATCCTTAAAGCTTTCACTTTGAAAAGTCCTAAAAAAGAAAAACAACTGAGTGTTGTAAGGGAGTAGTGACTACCCTAGGTTTCTGAACCGTCAACGACTATCATCAGTTCAGTCTTAGTCTATAAGAACCTGAGTGCATAACCTAAGTTAACTGAATGTAGGATTTGGAGTTCATCATGAAGATCGGTTGGGAACAAATAAACTTTGAGCCTTTATCCTTTGTTTCATGAACCATGAACCAGACCACATTACAACCCTTAAAAGACCTAATTGAGGTGAGGTTTTTTTTTTGAAAGCATACTACAGCAAGGTTGGATGATCTGACTCCTATTGATCTTTGATTTTCGTTGATCACTTCACCTGTCATTCTGTAAATGACAGGACCCACTTTGTTTTTTTGATCATTCGATCGCTCCATTTTGTTGTTTTACCAATAAACATTGTTTTCAAAGTTTGCATAAATGTTGCATTGAAATTGCCAATTTTAAAGAACAATGTTGTTTACAAAGCAACCCTATATCAAAGGAATCCAACAAATGCAGCCAACTATGGAATTTGACTTTGCAAGGGAAGCCCAGTCTAAGGCAACCAATTTAAAGGGTTTGTTAATCAACTACTCCAGATTCGGCTAATCAGGGGCAGTCAGGTCGAGATTCGGCAGATCTCTTAATGACCAATCAATCAGAAGCAGTCAAGTCGAGATTAGATGAATCTCTCGATGATTAGTTAGTTTGGGGCAACTCTCTCACAAGTCCACCAGCTAACAGGGGGCAAGTCTATTCCCCAGTTGTTACTTTCACAATCTGACTGACAAGTCTGAGGTCTTTTTGGTGCAAGTACCGTTAAACTGGGCCAGTTACGTCGAGATTCGTGAATCTCTCCAAGAGTTTGAAGATATTGAAGCATCTTGTATGTCAATTCTTTTGTAAAATCCTCTTGATGTTTTCTTCTCAATAGACCATGTAATCTGGGGCAGAAGAAATTTGAAGTTTATTTTGTGGCAAGGGTCGCTGCTCATTGTGATGATCGTGATGCAAGCTAGAGTGCAAGATTACTTTGTTCTTGTGACATCTTCTGCCAACTCCCCAGTAAGTTGTTACTTCAGTTGATCTTGGCAAGTTTCCACAGATCTTCCTTTTTTGACAGAGAAATCTAGCTCATGATGGTAATCTGAGTGAAGCATGATGTTGTATTTTTAGTGGAATACTCTTTCCCCATAGAAAGTTGTAACCTTGAAGTAGAGCTGTTTAAATTCTACATGTCCACCCCTGGCGTTGGTCCAATCTGTGAGGTTGGCTAGGTATCCTTGTCGAGATGTTTATTTCATCTCTGGTTTTGCTTCCCCTTGTCTGTTTTATCAGCATAAGCATAAGCATGGCATACAAGCATTTCTGCATATGCATAG